TTTGAGTCTTATTGTCTGTTTTATCACTGTTGTTATTAAGTTTTTTTAAATTTTTGTACTGTACTGCATAGCAGGTTGTTTATGGTTGAAATAATCTTTGTTCAGGAATATTTCACATTTTGAAAAATGTCTAAAACATGTGATTTTTTTTGTGGAGAAGTATCTATAAAATGAAACATTTTTTAAATAAATTTTTACTTGATTTAGGTATGTTACAAGAGTAAACTGAAATTTGAAACTTTTTGTGGGAAATTTGTGGCAGTTTGACCAAAGTGGGTTGTGAAGCCATATATATATATATATATATATATTTAAATGGTCATTATAATTAAACTGAGCTGTATTATTGATTTTTAATATATTTTTGAACAGTTAGTGTATTAATTAAATCAAGTTATATTTTTAAATTGTAATTTTTTTCAAAACTGTTTTAATCTTGTCATCATTTGGTTTATAAAATAGTTTGGTTAGACTAAGGTGAACAGTGCAGTTGTGATTTGTTTCTAAAAATGTTTTAAGACTGTTAGTGTGACCTCAAAAAAGCAGATTTTATGTTCATCTCTTATATTACATTTATTAGGAAGAAAAGTGTAATAAAAAGTCCAGAGCTTCTGATGAAAGTAAAGAGTCTGACACAGAATCTGATGTTGGCAGTAGTCATTCCGAATCTGTTGCTAGTGAAGATCGAGACATTAAGCAGCCAGAAGCTAATGGCAAAGAAGTGGAAGATGATGATGAAGACTGGGATAAATTCCAGAAAAAAATCTTCAAAAAAGATAAAGTATTAGAGTCCAAGTCCAAGATCTCACATAGTGTCCATTGTCCTTTCTTTTCAGAGGTTTGTTTATTTCTGTAGCTCTTGAAAAAAAATATCACTTATTTCTTAATAAGATGAATTTAAATATAAAACAATAATTTCCTATGTTTTGATGATTTTCATCATTCATGCTAATGTCTTAGTAATTCTAAATTGTTTACTATTTGCAAACTTTTTTTTCTGACATTGAAGTTATTTATGTTTTTTACTAATTCAAATCATCTCTAAATATATGGAAAACAAATCATAATTTTTTTTTATGATAGAAAAGTTTTTCATTACTACTATTAGAGCATTGCAGACTTTCAGTTTAGAAAATCTGCCTTCTACAGCATTTCTGACCTTATTTCATGTACTAGTAACATACAGTTAAGTAGTATATCCCACTTGGATAATTTTGAGCTTTCTTACAGATGGTGGTATTGAAGACACAGTTTTGATCTCGTAACAACGATTTCTTTCAGTATAACTATGTTTAAGTTTAAAAATGTCTAGAGGCTGTGTCTTCCTTACTTTCACCTGTTGGATGGCCATGATGTGAGCAGCAAATGTTTTTTGAGAGGGATAATATTAGTTTTTTTTTTATATATAACATTATGCTCTCTGTCTTGATCACTTCATCAGGATTCTTACTTGTAAGATCTCTCGGCAGTAAGTGAGAAGTACCATCCTCCATCTTCGTGTACTCGTTTTTTTATTATTTTTTTGTGTAAGTAAATAATGGTTACTTTTCACTTTGTTTTACATTATACTTAGTTTATTTTCTTTAACTCAGTCTAGACAGGAATTGAGTTTAAAATTTTACATATAATATTCTGTTGTATTTCATGTTATTGTTTTACTTTTATCTGCAAGGTTAATCAGTTAATATAAGAATACTACACTAAGACTAGGTGTTATAACTCAGCTGGTTCTTATAAGCACTGGAATTGAATAAAAGGCTTCATTGGCTATCTCCTCTTAATATTTAAGGCATTATTGATTATGGCTATATCTACTTGAAATCTATATTGAGCCAATTAAGAGTAAAAAAAAATTTTTTTTGAGTCTTATTGTCTTGTTTTATCACTGTTGTTATTATGTTTTTTTATATTTTTGTCTGTATTAATACTAGATGATGAAGTAAGTTGTGCTTATACATTTGGATGTAAAGTAGAAATTTTTTGATGTGTGATATACCTGTACTGTGAGTATAGATTGGGTTGTAGTTTTTGTTTAGAACTATTCATTATTTTTTAGGACAAACAGGAGTATTGGTGGATTTACATTGCAGATAAGAAACAGCATGATCTCCTTACTGTCCCCTGCCTTATGACCAACCTTGTGCTAAATGAAGAGGTAAATTTTAACTTGTTCACTTTTGAAGTATTATATTGTTAGGTTATAGTGTATTGGTGAAATATATTGTGTTATTGGCCGACTTTGTATTCCAGCTTGATGTATGATTCAACTTTTCAGTTATGACAGTTTTAAAAGATAAAGCACAGGTGAGGTCTCTTGACCATTCTTGTACTGCAAGAATGTGTAGGGGACAGGTTGTTTATTATGATAATAAAACAATGATAGGATTTTGCATAGTTGAAGTTTCCTCTCTTGTGACTGTTTGTGTGAAATGTATAGGTAAAACATGTTACTGCTAGAGAAGTGGGATAGGCCTGCTCAATAAAAGATCTGACAAGATATCTGTTACAGACTAATACTGTGTTTCTCTGAATAACTGAGTTTGTGAGAATGAAATAGAGACTGGCAAAATGCAAAAGCCCAATTTTTATTACAGCATAACACAAACACTATGTGTTCTTGGTTTGGACAGTGGACTGTTGCTTGTACTGGATTGTAACTATTCTCCTTAACTGATTAGTCCAAGATAATCAACCAGACCATTTAAGTTCAAAGTTCCTTACTTCATAGATAATGTCATATTAACCCAGAGTGCCTAGTGCTGTCCATGTGATGGTCATTTTCATTAAAACATAAGTGAGGTAATCTGGAGATACCATCTGACCAACCTTTGAAGGTCACTGCAACATTACAGCCATGTTTACCATGGGCAGAACAGGTTTGGCTTCATTAGTATGACAAAGGAACAAAGGTAGCTAGAAAAAATAAACTTAATGACTTTTTTTAACCACGTGCTATGAGAATACTGCACATACACACAGAATAAGTGATAAATTGAGAATAATACTGTATTAATACCTGAAGGTCGAAAATGCATGGTATTTTTATATATCACACTTTCATGTTACAAGAGATTGTGTGGCCAGCTTTTTGAATGTGACATAAAAAATTGATAAGTTACAGTGTAGATGTAGTACTCTGTCTTATGAATACCCTTGCACCACAAAAACTTGTAGGGGACATATGTTGTTGTTTTTTATTATGACAACAAGACAATAATAGGCTATAGAATGATTGAAATTTTCTGTCTTATGACCACTCCTGTATTACAATATTGTGTAGGGATAAGTAATGACCATTCCTGTATTACAGTAATTTGTAGGGACCACTTATGATCATTCCAATACTACAATATTTTGTAAGGATAACTTATGACCATTCCTGTATTACAATAATCTGTAGGGACTTTTTATGATCATTCCAATACTATGATAATGTGTAGGGAACACTTATGACCATTCTTGTACTAGAAGAAATCGTAAGGACTAATTATTACCAGTCCTATACTACAAGAAGATGTAGGGACCAGTTATGTTCACTTCTGTGGACGTAATTACAGTCTTCTGTGTTGTACATTAACTTCATCAATAAATGTAATTTTTCATCATGTAAGTAAACCACATTTTTTACAAAACTTAAAATCTTACAAATATGTGACAGTGCAAGGAATAGAGCTAGCTATGAGAGCAGATATGTTGCTAATTGTGATATGTAATTTTATTCTGTAGCTTATGAATAATAGTATGTACTAAAGCAGTACTTCCAAACCTGCGATTGAGAATTCAATGGATATAATATCATATTTAACACACAAAGTTGAATGGGCCAGTTGAAATACATTTGCAAAGAGATGGGGGAGGTCATGCAAATTCTGGATGTGTGAAATAGGTTCAGCAGTGAAAATATTTGGGAATACTATATTAGAACATATGTATATTAAAATTATAAATATGAGTAATATATTATATTATTAATGTTTGTTTTCTTTACTTTAAAAATTTAGAAATAAATAACCAGCTCAGAATTGTACAGATATTGTTTGGTATGAAGTATTTGCTATTTTTTGTTATTTCCAGTAGAATAGTAATCCAATGAAATACTAATTTCCAACCTACCTAACTATCAGTTAAAAGCTCTTATTAATATAACTTCAAAATGTTCAGAATTTGTTTGTACATAATATCAAACATTCTTATTAAACATAACATTCAATTTCTTTAGCTGCTGTGATAATGTTCATACTTTTTTGTTGCTTTAAAAATAAATATTAAACTAGATGTACTAGAGAAGAGTTTTCTAGGACTGTTTCTCTTCACAAGACCTGTTCACTGCCACATTGGTAGAAAAAAAAATAAATGCTGCTTTAAAAGAAAGTGATAAAACATACTGGACAAGTATATGCAAAACTGTGAAGAGAAACAGTCAGACCTGTTCACTGCCACATTGGTAGAAAAAAAATAATTGTTGCTTTAAAAGAAAGTGATAAAACATACTGGACAAGTATATGCAAAACTGTGAAGAGAAACAGTCTGTCCAGTTTACTATCACATTGTTAGAAAAAAGAGCAATAATGAATTGTTACCTTGTTATTTTTACATTTTGTATAAGCTGTAGTTTACTTAGAATTTTCTCTCCAGGATCATTTGCCATTAGCATGTAGAATTTACAGTAGTGGTCATATAAAATCTTTTTTTGCCTTTGTCAGTTCCTGGGAAATATAAACAGGGTACTAAAGTTGAAGTTCCAGATTTGTTTTTAGTTTTTTGTTTGTAAATATTAACAGAAAATACTTATAGTTTAAATATTTCTTGCACATAAACACTGCATTCATCAAGCCTTATTGTCCATCATCAGTAATGATTAATAAAGAACTGGCAAGGTCTCTGACCGAAAATTTATTATCGGAGTTAGTATTCAAATAGTATCTCATTGCAATACATAGAAAAAATAATGATTTTTGAAACCAATTTCAGGTCAGTGGGAATCAAGAGAAATAAAATGGCAAACATTAGTATTTTTTTCTGAAGAGGGAGCTGTTGTGTATAAAAAAAGAATTTTGCTTGTGCAAATAAGATTGTTTATAAATAGTCATTTTTGCATCGCTGAGAACTCTGAGAGAATGTAATCTAGATTATGATTCTGTTTAAGTATTTTAACTTCTTACTGTATTATTTATAAAAAAGGAATATGCTGGAAAAGGTATTTTAAAAAATGCTGGAATTTTCTTAGTTTACCATATCATCAAATCTACAGTTTTAACAGAATAACTTTTTTTATGCAGATGACGTATCAAAATATCTAAGTAATACAATTTGAGGAAGAGTTGAAATACTGTGTCAAAGGTCAGGAAACCTATGTGAGCATAATGAGACAAAATGATATACATACTGACTGGTCACTATTAGGAACAATATGCAATAATGAAATGGTCTGTGTTTTGCCTATAAAACAGCCGTACTGCAACATGGCATAGAATTCACATGGTGCAGGAAAGTAGTTGAGGGTTTTTCCCATTCAGTCATTAATATTGTTTGCAATTCATGGAGCAAGATAGACAGAGGTGAATGTGTCTTTTCAGTTTCATCTCAAGATGCTCAATTGGATTGAGATTTAGGGACTTTGGTGGCTACGGGGGATGCTTGAAGTTTCTTTCATATTTTTCAAACCATAATTTGGGCATAGTGGATGGAAGCATTGTCTTATTGGAAGTAGCTGTCCCCATCAGGGAACACATGAAGCATCACTTATGTGGTTAATCAAAAATGAAGCTTTGTAAGCTGTGTTATTCATTATGCTTTCTACAGAGACATGACTCCACCATCAGAGGCCTGGACAGTTGGAACTACACAAGAGGGGGGTATTCTTGTGGCTTCTCCCACTTGTGCAGAAAGGATAAAGCATGACTTATTGGACCACATTGTATTTCACTAGTTTTTATAAGTCAAATGTCTACAGTCTTTACACCACTAAAGGCATTGTTTGTTGTGAGTATTTGAGTCCAGTGGTTTATGCAATGGTCTCCTACTGCCAAAGTCCATTTGTTATAATGTTCTTTTCAGGGTATGGGTGTGGATTACCATGCTCTGAATTTATGGCTGTTGTTATATTGTTTGATGATGGTTAGACTTTAACATCTTGTCTAACTGCTTTTCTTCTCTTTCCATCACTACATATTTGTAACCACCATTCCCTTTCACAGCATTACATATATTAAATGGAAAAATACTTAGCTTGCTTATAATTTTGGTATGGTAAAAAGGTAAGCTCACGATCTTAAACCCAGTAGAACTGTGTGCAGTGTTTTTCAAATTAAAATAAATGTACAATTCACAGTTTTATAGAATAAAAACCTTACTGGAAAATTTTACAAGCTTTTGTACACCTGTCATATTTAAAAATAATATATTTTATTTACAGAAGCAATATAACCTGGAGAAAGCTTATTGGAAATTTCAAAAAATCTCATCCAGTAGCTATTTGTTTCAGCAATGCAATAAAACTGTATGATGGATATGTCAGTTCACTGCATCTAGACGTTTTAAGAGTTAAGAAGTGTTTTCATGTGTGTAGTTTTATTTTTGTTACCTGACCTTTAATGCATTAAATGAATTTCATTTGTTTGAGGATACTTTTCGAATCATAAAGGTCACTATGAATTACCACTTTATTATTGCTCTTGTCTGGGTCTATTTTTGGAATTTATTTATTTATCAATTTTCTTTATTAATTAGTTACTTAGTTTTTATTGTTTGTAATAATAATGATAATAATAAGTTACTTTTTTTATGACTATGGGATGGAATAAATGATTTCAATATAGTTTTATATTTTATATTATTTATCAGTCCAAATTTACCTTTTTACATTAGATTAATAGTACTGTATCATATTTTGCCTCACATAGTTTTATTCACCCTTTGAGCCTCATATTTCAACTCCCCTAAACTTGTATTTCTTAGATATTTTGATATATCATGAAGTAGTGTTTTTCTGTTAAAAACTAGTTCAATCACTAAAAACCATGAATTTGGTATTATGGTAAATTATGAGAAAATACCAACACGTTCACTTTTTTACGGGCGTAGTTTCCCCTTTTTTTTTTCAGAAGTAATTGAGTAAAATATTCAAATAGAATCATAACCTGCATGAAGTTCTCTTTACTTAGAGTGATGAAACATGCTATTAATGTATTTCAAACAACTTTTTATAATCATCTTATTTGCATATACAGACATCTTTTTTGTTACATAACAGGTGTTCTCCAGATGAAATTTAAACATCTGCCATTTTGTTTCTGTTGACTCCATTGACTGGAAATTGGTGTCAAAAAATTTAATTTATTTCATTATAAAGATCTACTTGAATACAAATTGTGATATTGACTTTGACTATTAATCAACATTTTTAAATTATTGTTTCAAGTTATATAGATTACAAAATAACATTACATAAATATATAGGAATTAAGTAAACAGTTTACTTTCAGAAAAATTAGTAAACCTAAAACCTTTCAATAAATCATAACTTTTTTAGTTCTTTATAACTCGAATGTCCATCATACTTTTTAAGAGTTTGTCTGCTTGAAAACAGTACAGTGTGGACTCTGTGGCATACCTGCCCTACTATGTGCATGTGCTTGCCTCAAGGTAGGGTATGAAATATCACAATCTCTCCCACAATCAGAGTTACCTTAGTGACAGGGATCAGACATAAAAAAAAAAATCCTGGTTTTATCTGATTTTGGTGAAACTTTTGCAGAATGTAGAATACGATGAGATATGATGATTACAAATTACAGTTTTCAAAAATTTGCCAAGTTATTATTGGCCACATCCTCAACAGAAACCCATAATGAATGATAGTAATTGTTGTTGTGAAATGGACAGGCCTGCCACATGAGTTTTCTTCTTTCTTTGTTGCATGTTGTTACATCTATTTTTCTGACCAAAACCAAATAGATTTGCAGCAGGTAGCTCCAACCCCCATTGACAGTATTGGAACTTTGTTATTCTTTGCCATGTCATTGTCAGTCACCATTATCCCTTCAAGTACCTGCATGAGCAAGGTTCCAAGATGTTTAACTTGTAATCTGTCCAGCTTCTGTGGATGTGATCACAATGGACCTTTTGACAGATCTTATTAAAACAAATCCATTTATCAAGCCCAGAGATGCTGTAGTGGTACTCCAAACTAGGTTTCTATGCTAACAAGTACAGTAATGAAAGAAGTAATACTATTCTTCTACCAGATCAAAAGATCAGGAACAAGGTCTCCAACATCAAACAGACAATGAAGAAAGTTTGCATAATTTAATTTGAGAATAATAAAAAAAAAAATCAGCTTGTATACTGCAAAAATAATATGGCCATTCTGAAACCCACTGTCTCTTTGCCTGCTCATAATTTTGGATTGAGATACGTTGCCATAACACGGATTGCATACTTGCATACAGCAGATTTTTGGATTTTCCAATGGTTTATGCAACACCTCCAAGAAACAGTCACTCAAGTTTCTTGTTTCTGCCTCACTGCCCTCTAGTTAAGGGAGAGATCCTGTGTTTTTTCATTTAGTTTTTTATATCTAGCATAGTATATTTCTAACTTTTATGCTTTAGTTACTTTTGTTGAAAAATCTATAACAATAGATAAAAAAAAAAAACACACAAAAACAAGAAATTTAATATTTACATCTTGACTCAGGCCTTTTGCTGTTGATGACAAGGCATTCTAACCGAACTTTTTTGTGTGACTGTGTTAATTGTCCAAAAAATCATTAATGTTTCTTTCAAATATATTTTAGAATACAAAAATATATAGGGTAATAGAATAGAATGTTTCAAAATTAACTACTACAATGTTGCTTCTAGAATGCATACTTTGTGTATTTATGCTATTTTGATTGCCACTGGTGCAAAATAATCATTTGTACATGTTACTAGTTCATGCAAAGAAAAAAGAGAAATACACATTTTGAGTTTTTGTGTGTGACCATTCGAAATGTATCATGAATGACTTTGTAACGATAGATCGCGATCGTAACCAAAAAATTCCAAACGGTAATTAGCTCATTTGGATATCTAACAGATTGTGCTTGGCTGCATTATGATGTCATTTGGTTTGGGGGGAAATTCCCTTGATATTGTGGGATATCAATTGTTGAAAATGGTGGAAAAAAATGAAAGGTACGAAGACATTCAAAATGTGGTTATTAAAAAAAAAACATATTTCCACTAAAACTATGCAAAAATTGAAATAAATATAGGGAAAAAACACAGAGAAGATGACTGCAATGTAAGTTTTGTCAGTGAATGTGTAGATATTTTCAGTACATACACAAATGAAACAAATTGCAATGATTCAATTTACTGTTTTTCTTCAAATGAAAGTTACTTGATCATGTTACTTTTATGACTCATGAAGTTGATACCTACTTCATTATATGGATGGCCCACTTTCTGGAAGTCAGTGGGGGATTTGGCCCACTTGAGAAAAATCCTAGAAGCAACACCTTGCTATAAGTCAACTGGCTAAACAATTCTGTTAGTTGCTCGAAGTTGAACACCACAATCATAAACAATGAAATGTATGTTAAATATCTGCTTACAAGTGCCAAAATAAACATTATAAGAAACCTTGTAAAGAAAAAGGTGTTTTTTATTGGTTCTAAATAGTCCAATAGCATTCTCAGAGAGAATTGTTGACATTTTTTAGGGAGGGAGAATTATATGGCAGGGTCACATCATCTGGGTTTTTTATATCTCACTAAAGCATGAAAATTGGAGATTCTAAGTCTATATTTTGGCTTGTTAGTATTTATAGTATGCTTTTGTAGTTAATTGGTTATACAAAAAATCATCTAAATGTAGAAAGAAAGTCCAAAATGGACAATATAGAGCACAGATGTTTTGTGTAACATAGGGAAGTTAAGATTGGGAATTTGTTAAAATATTTCCTTTTGAAATTAAGGAATTGAAATTTAGATAATATAAAAACTTGAACTATAAAGTATTTTTTTATGTCATGCTTATTAACGTACATTGATAATAAAGTTACTTAATTAAATTTTGAGTATAATTCTGTAAAAGGTCATGACATACTCATTTTGACTCAGTTGTTGACATAGTGTTAAAGACACTTTTTATTCTACTGACTTATTTCTGTTTTAGGTGGAGTTGAAGTTCACAGCACCTTCAAAACCTGGGGTATACACATATGCAGTCATTGTCCGGAGTGATTCTTACCTCGAGTCAGAATATACAAAGATAATTAAGGTAAGCTTCAACACTATTAACAGTACTGTAGAAATTTATTAAAAGAAATAACATTTACACAGCTTTACTGTTTTAATAGATACGGGCTTTTATCTTCAAAAGCTCTCATTGTAATTTTAAAGCCTGAAGCCCAGATATGTATAAGCTAAGCTTGTTTTTAGTTAACCAAATTAGCAAAAACATTTTCCTATATCTACCAAACTTATACTTTTATTATTACATTACACAGCATAAACTTCCTCTATATCAGTAAATTGCATGGCAAATATATGATCTAAGAACATTCGATTATATTATAAATATAATTTAAAAGGTTATTTGATCTAGAGTTATTTTGAGCTGATATAATGGTTGAACATCATTCAGATTAAATATAATTTAAAAGGTTATTTGATCTATAGCTATTTTGAGCTGGTATAATAGTTAAACATCATTCAGAGATAAAAGATCTTTTAGACTACGATCATAAAAGCAGTTGAATAGTTACTCTTTGTATCACTCTAAACTGAATGTGCGTGGGGTTAGTCTAGTGTGTCAGACCTGTATTAGAGATGGAATGTTGACTATCATTCCAAATTTACTATGTGTATCTACAAGAAATGTGGCAAAGTTTTATTCAAATGTACAGATCTGTTGTACACAAAATCTGAAGTGGTGCAAGAGTATTTGCACTCAAGATATGTCATACAGTTTGCATATTGCATCTGAAATGCATACCTACAATTGTTTTCAGTATCTTTGTATATTGTATCTGGTATTTACTCCCCTCTATCATGAACTGTTGCTAAGTCAGCAATGTAGGGTAAAATGAATAGTTCAGAACTCTGACATCAAATATATATAATACTATGTTGAATGGCACTTTGTAAAAAGTTGTAGGCTATGTGTACATAGGTTAAAATC